CCCAATAAGGCGCCTAGTTGTTGATCTAATGCATTGCATTGGATCGTAAAAAGATTGTGTATTGAGGGAGAAGAAAGAAACCTTTTTGAAACACAATTAATTCTATTCTTAAGAATAAACCTCTATAAAAAAAAATTCATTATGAGATCACCTAGCACAAACTCTCGCATGAGTTGATGGATTTTCCAGCTGTTCAATGGAAAAATAAAGCATTGATTTGATAAAGACGCGCTCTTTGCTTGTTTGTCGGATTATTGAAAAAACATTATGGATTTGAAAAGATAACACCAAATATCCATTTATCACTTGAATGCTTTCATGATTATGGTCCATTAAATTCTTTCTGGTGTTACTCATTTGAAAGGATGAATGGCATGTTAGGTAAATTTTTATTTGACTGCTATAAAGAATTTGTATGATTGAAATGCTAATAAATTTTTAACTGATAAAATAACCCTCTGTGTCAATATAGATTTTATGAGCTTATATGCTTATATGTTGAGGAAGTAATTGAAGTTCAAGATGAAATTGAAGTTTATCTATTTCTAAAACTAATGAGGTAGTTATATTTTATTTTATATTTATTTAGAGCTCGCTAAGCTCTACAAAATAAAATAAATTTTATTTGAATTGGTTAAATTTTATTCATAAATTCTACATAGCTCCAGAGGGTCATTTGTCTAACGAAGTCCCAACTGTTGTTTTTAAAGGTCTGAGTCCTTTTTAAACAAAGAAATTATATTTTTATGACAAACCAAACTAAACCAAATCCCTAATGAATATCAAGGGCAATTGATTGAATTAGACCTTTTTTGCAAATTAAAAAATTAAATAATGGGTCGAATTAGAAATAGTTGTTTTTGGAATTCACTCATTCGGTATCTATTACAATCTTATACTATTCAATTCTTTTACTTTTTTCGACAAATTCAATTAATTTTTGCTAGTAGGTTACAATATTAGAATTTATACAATGGATCTGTCATATGATGGTGTATACAGAATGTTTTATTGGGGAAATTTGAATTGCCAAGAGGCTATCTTAGCAACCATCGGATATCTTAGCATCCATCGGAAATCTAAATATTTATTTAGCAATGGTCTAGAATTTCGGATATTTATGAAATTTAAGGACAACCATTTATTAAAACTACTGTTCGTAAATTTTACCCTGAAGAACACGTGTTTTTGGATTCATATAATATTAAAATCAATTGAATATACGATATATATCAAATATGTCACTCATAATATCTATTAAATATGTTACTTATAATATCCATTAAATAACAAGAAATTATTAGGAATATGTTCGGTTCAAAATATAATTGAAAGCCCAGTGACAGTTTCCCTTGACGACACTCATATTGCCTGAACTGTGTTGATAAATAAAAAAGACTTAAACTTGAATTATTGACATTATGCATACATTATCTGTTTTTTTTTCTTTTAAACAAAAATAAAAATTAGTCATATATTTGACTTTAAAAGCTAAAAATTTCTATTTTACCGAAGAAGCTAAATATTAGCAAAAAATGGTGCTTCTAAATCAGATAGATATTAATGGCCGCTTGGCCCTCCGATCTTTTACCATACATTCTTGGCTACCTAACAGTTCATAAGAACAAGTATTATATGTAATATAAAAAAAATATATGTCAAAAAATCATTCGATTAATTTTTATCAGGTGTCCTAGATAATTCCGAACTACAGAACTACGCTGATCATGTAATTACGAACAAAGCGTAATCGAACCAGGTTAAACCGACAATCGGTTTATTATAACCAGTTATATCCGATTAATCAGTTTTATTATAACCGGTTATATTTGATTTATATTAGTGGTAAATCCTCATTGTGTTAATTCACGAAAAACTTTTTTTTCAGAATAAGGAAACGTTGATGTAATTCTAAAGAATATTGAACCCGAATTAGGGTGGATGGAATGCGATGTGCATTAGTGATGTATCCCAAACTGTTTCGGCACCAAATTACGGATACGGCAACTTTTGATCGGGATTTGAGATTTTGCCGATATTTAACAATTACAATATATTAGTCATATGCTGCATCGGAGTTAATGTCATTTTCATATGGCGGCAAATATAATTGCTATTTGGGACTTTATTGCAAATCGCAAACTAAGTTTTGGCAATTTGAGATCCGGCAGATGACGAAACTATCGGATTTGGGTGACACCACTAATGTGCATACTGTATATGCATAGTGTATTCGCGTACCATATGTCTACGAATATTCCACAGTATCAAGTGAGTATTTTTTCACGCCTAAAAAAAAAATGTTATGGTGAAGCTAGTTTAGATTGATTATAATAAGTATAATTGAAATTTTACCTTGTTTCTAAATAAAAATGACACGTTTGAATTTAAATTTTCTTCTAAATTACGTAAAATTCTTTATAACAAACTGGACATTTCGAAAAAAAGTTTCGAGATTAGCATTTACCATAGTGAACTGATAAAAGTTAAACCAATAAAGGCGTTCGTTTCACAAATATACAAACACGCATATGATGTTGAAAAAATATATGGCTCATATGCATCTCGTAACACTTTTACGATAACCGATTATAACTATTCTCATAATTTTGGACGCAAAAATTGACTGAATGGTGATTTGGCCGATTCGATAAGTTTTGATTTCGGTACGTAATAATATGCGTATCTTGCTAATGACAGAGATATTGTAAATCAATATCACTATCTTATTCTTGCGCTTCAGATAAGTTGGATATTATACTTTATATTAGATTCAGTTGCTATTACTTCAGACAAAGTTGGAAATTTCAGATTCAACAGTATTTACTTCAGACAAGCTAGGCATTTTTAAAATGTTTACTATAGACGAACAAGCCAAAGGTTCCTTAGTTGTTAGATCAACCGTTTCAATATTTCATCTGATTCATATTGATTTGCTTTTCATTATAATTTATATTACATAAATAAATAAAATACTTTTATAGATTTTTACTATTGATTTTGTTGATTATAATTTTTAATGCAGTTTCGACAAATATTAATATAAACTTGGTTGTTTGGAATTAATTTGAGTTATTCTTTCTTTAGTTCGGTCAATAAATTCTTTTATTAGCGTTTCCTTGTGTAATATATTTATTATGAAAGCTTATCTTATATTCAAAACTTTTTTATGTTTTCGTTAAGATCTGTTGGTTGGCAAGAACATTCTTCGTCATAAATTTTTCGTACAGACTAAACACACCAAACATACTGGACATGTATTCAAGCAAAATCTTAATTTGGATGTGTTGACATTGTAGAATACATTCGCAGAAAATATATTATCGCTATATTACCAAATCAAAAGTTTATCACTGCCGAATCAAAACTTTTATCGAGTCGGCCAAATAATCATTCGGTCAATTTTTTACCAGATGTCCCAAAATTTGAGAACAGCTGTAATCGAATTTAACCAGGTTAGTATAACTGATTAATTGAATTCAACCGGATATAATATAACCGATTTATACTCGGTCAATATAAATTCCGGGACACCTGGCAAAAAATTGACCAGCCGAATATTTGCTGACTACCAAATCAAAACTTATCGAATCGGCAAATATTCGGTCGGTCAATTTTTGTAATAATGATAAAACCGGTTCCAACCTCTACCGTAAATTCATGAACTGTAATATGCAAATTTCAAACATACTCTATAGTATTTAAAAAATTATATATCACCAGTAATGTTTAACATCACAGTTGGCTATATCTTAAAAATTGGCCAAGTAATTAATGTTTGATACCTTAAGTAAAAAATATTCAGAACTCCCAAAACCTTATGCTAGCTAAAATTTAACCTCAATACTAACTCTTACCTTAAACTATAACAACATATTAATCCTAATTTTAATAATAAAATAATATATGGTGTCAAACACCACTGGTTTTCTTTTATATTTTTCTAAAAAATAAAATTTTTATTGTTTTTTTTTTTATAATATAGTATGCAGTTTTTTATTAATAATATATAACTTATTATAGTGCGATTAAACATAGTATGTATTGAATAAATTTAATACTACAGGTACCAAAGCAATAACCAATCAAACTCACTAGTTATCACATGATACTTTTCAATTTATCGATTGATTAGCACGGGTTTGCAGTAGGCATACTTAATTTTTTACCCGTTCCCGAACCCTATAACATTTTAGCATTCTAAAAACCCTTCGAAAATTAGAATAACAACTATGGTGTTTCAAATATTTAATCGATTATAATTCTACATTGAAATTATTATTGAAATTTGTTCAATAACGTTTACTTTAAGTTAATTTCTACGGTTAGGTGTTTTATAAAAATCATAATAAGAATTATAAATTTCGATGACATTATTAGGTCTTTTATTAATTTGGAAAATCCAAGTATAATAACAAAAATGATGACCAATTTTCACATATATATGTTTATCATAAGCCTGATGTCAAACATGTTTTGAAACGATCCCTTTTCTATGAATTATCTGAATTATTATTATCCTCCTGAAGGCTGAACATCTGCATGTAATTTATCTAAATTTAGAAAATCTTCCGATTTAATAAACGGTTATCGAAAAGGAAAGACATGATTATCAACAGTTAATTATTTATCGCTATTACAGTATTACTTCATTACGAGCTAAAAAAAACTATTGACAATATATAAATATATTCACAAGCCAATCCATTAGAATATTGTGCATAAGAGTTTATTAGCATCTGTTACATAGCATAAATTTCACACAAATAGGAAATGCATGGCAGTACGACAATTATCTTGGCTTCTAAATTTGGACATTGTTTGTATCTCAGTTAATGAGAAATTAATTTACAAGTTATCCAAATTAAAACTGTAAAAACGTGTAATAATTAATTAATTCATATTTTTCCAAGTACAACCGAGCTCAGCTCAACTCAGAAACTCCGTCTTTCTTTTTCGTAAATCTCTCACTTCTGTATGTAAAAAAAACATTATCAACTATGAGAAAAAATTCATTTCAATCGGAAGTCTTAATTGAAAATCAAGAAGTACTTGAAATATCACGGCCTGGTGACTTACCAGTTGACTCAGAATCTGATAAGGTCGCAAAACAAGAAATTAATGAACCAGCAACAGCAACGCAGGATACAATAGAATTAAATAATTCGGAAATTTCTCAAGTTAATTCAGATAGTCTTCATAATGATTTGAACTCTGAAGATTCAAAAAAACAAGTACAAAATTCTCCATTTACATCGATTACTTCAAAACAAAATCGATGGAAGGATGTAAAAAAATATGTTGGGAAAACTTCAGCAGTTCTTGGTGCTTTACCAAAAGGAGAACTTAACAGAGAATTGCTCGCTAAATTAGAAGAACAAAATTCATTATTGCCTAAACAAGTAAATATACAATATATATTTTTTATTTTTTATTTGTTTCATTTTCACTAACTCATCCTGTTTCTTAAATATATAGAATTCAGTTGAATTCATTTTAGCCCGTATTGAGAGACAAAATCAACTTTTAGATAATGATCCAAAATCAGTGTGCATTCAGTCAAATGTTATCAAAGCTGATCTAGAGACCATACAGTCACTCATAGATGATAGCACAAATTCAGCTGCTGAAGGTGATGAGTTCCTCCAAAATGAAAAGATTACTGATTGGGATTTTTGGTCCGCGTTGATTCAAGACTATACTTCTGTGGCTACAAAACTTCCAGAACTTCTTACAGCAAAATTACAAGCTGGTGTACCACCAAAATTGAGAGGGTTCGTCTGGCAATCGATGTGTCAGGCTTCTTCAACTTATTTGGAAACTATGTATTCTCAATTATTATCAGAATCCTCTCCTTATGATAAAATCATTGAACGTGACTTGGCTCGAACTTTTCCTCATATAGATATGTTTAAGGAAGAAAATGGCAAAGGGCAGACTGGTTTATGGAATGTATTAAAAGCATATAGTTTATATGATCCGCTGGTCGGATATTGCCAAGGGCTTGGATTTTTAGTTGGTCCAATGTTGATGAATGTAAGCACTCACGTCATAACATTTTGCTAAACATATTCATATTTATATATACGTTAATTTTTGTTTTTTTTTTTTGTAGATGACTGAAACACAAGCATTTTGTGTGTTCGTTCGGTAAGTATTATACTAAACATAAAATATTAATTATACATAACATTAATGATTATCATTATACATCATATTTTTTTGTAATATAGTTTAATGGAAACTTATGACATGAGGACTATGTTTACACTCAACATGGAGGGGCTTCAGCTACGACTTTATCAATTCTCGGCGCTTCTCGCACAAATTCTTCCGAAACTTCACGAACATTTTCTACGTCATGCTATACATCCTGCGATGTTTGCTTCGCAATGGTTCCTATCACTTTTCGCTTATACTTACCCTTTGCCATTGGTACTTCGTATTTATGATGTAGTATTTGCTGAAGGTGCTCCTGAAACAATTATGCGTGTAGCAATTGCATTATTAAAGAAAAATGAAACCAATTTACTTTCATATGAAGAGTTTGAAGATCTCTTAGATTTTCTTACTTCTCGATTGTATGAGGCATATGACAATAAACCAACCGGGCTTATTAAGGACGCAATGGCACTAAGTTCGGTGATAACAAAGGTTAAATTAGATCAACTTTCTAAGAGTTATGTGAAAGATTTAGAAGATCAAAAGAAACGTTCCGAAAAATTGGTCGCTGTTCGATTCAATGGAAGATTTGCTACACCTAAAAAGGAAAAGAAAGAAGAAATTAAACGACAAACGAAACGTGATAAACCTAATTATCGGTGGTCATTTAGTGCAATTCCAAGTTCAAAACAAGCTGTTGTCTCTTTCCAATCAACTACAAGTACATCTAGTGATGCATCAACTTCCTCAGACAGTGATTCAATAGCATCTTCAACGCCTACGTCTGCTTCCTTTGGTAGTGATAGCACAGGACTTTTACACGCACAAATTGAAGATTTAGTGACTGCATTATCTCAACTTCAAAAGGAGCATGCAGATGTTCTTGAACAATTGGTTTGTATAAAGATGGAAAAAATGGATTTGGTGTCAGAAGCGGAAGGATTAAGATCTCGGTTAAGGGGTGTTGAAAAAGAGAACAAACGATTGTCTGCAAATTCTGTAGTACTTTCTATGGATTCAACTGCAACTCTAAATGCAAATGATGTAAATCGATTAGAAGATACTGATTTAACACCACGTCCATCAACCGAGGTTACATTACATAAAAGAGTGGTATCAGATTCAGAAATGCTAACAAAAGCACAACTATCAACTACATTAGCAATCAAGTCACGTATTTTATCCTCATCGACATCATCAACATCATCATCATTCTCTTCCATTCAATCACTAAATACCTCTAATTTGAGTACAATGCCAACAACACCCAGTTCTTCAGAATTTTATACAATTGACTTGTCAGACGTACAAAAGGAAGAAGAAAGTCCGGACATTTCAACACTTACTGAAGAACTTATTAAAGTCAAAATGCAAAAATTCGAGTTAGTACAAGAGAATGAAGAATTACTTAAACATAATGAAGATTTAGAACGCGCTTTACAAGAATCTAAACAAGAACATATTTTATTACAAGAAAAAAATATTTCACTATTAGTAGAAATTGAACGACTTGATGAAGAGGCAGCACAAGCTGTATATGAGAAAAATTCGATGGAGCATGAGATGAAGGAAGCTAGAGACTTTAAAGTACAGAATGGAAAATTACTCAAAGAAACCGAGAAATTAAAGAAAGATGTAGAACAATTGAAACAAAAATTATCTAAATATACATTAGATGATGCACCTTCCGTTAAACATAGCACGTTATTTGAATTTATTGTTGAAAATGCAGATGACGCCTCAATTTCATCGAGGAGAAGAGATAGTGAGACTCAATCAATAACATCATTGTCTTCATTGCCACAAAGTCTAGCTATGGATAACGAAGAATTTCAAATTGTCACAACATGTAATGGTGAATGTGATACTGCAAAAAGAATTGATGAGTTGGAGAAAATGTTAATAAGTGTAAAGATGAAATTGGCCCAAAGTGAAGAAGCCAGAGAATTTTTGGGAAATCAAGTAGATGGACTAAGACACATGATGAATGGATATAATGAAGATCTTTCTCCAGCATCGCCAGGCCTAAAGCCAAGGAGTGAAAAACGAGTATCAACATTGTCTTTGACATCATTCTTCGGTGGTACATAAATAATCACAATATTATTGAACGACTATATTGTATTCTTGTACTTTTATACATATTATAAATATTCATAGACTTTGTATCTTTGTAGATATAAATCTTTTTACACTTCATGTTTATTTTTTTTTCTTAGTCACAGTGACAATTCATTCATTCATTCTAACCTATTGATTTTACACCTTTTTTTTGTAACTTATTAAAGTTCGACAATTTATTTAATATATATATTCTTAAAATATTTTTAAAGTTGATATATGTTACAACTTTGTGTAAAAATCAATACTGTAGCTTTTTTTTTTTTTTTCTTCAATTATTTACTTTTTTCTTTTTTTTTTTCTTTTTTTTTTTTGACCTGATACGATAATCAATTAAAAAAATTTCAAATATCTTTTTTTTAAAGCCTTTTTGGCAATTGAGAATAACTTGTAAGTTATAATTAATTTAATAAATTCATCTGGGGGATATTACAGTTAACTATGGAAATTAGAAATGAAGTTAATGTAGATAATAAATGTTAGACTCGTCATTAAATGAGAATTAATTTTTACAATGTATAATCTAGACGGGCAATTGTGAATTTCTTCAATATCTCACGGGATAGAGGTGAACAATCTACGTCTTTGTTTGCATACCATACTTCGTTATTTCGAAATAATATCACTCGAAAATAACATTCATGGCTTCGAAATAACGCCTGTGCGCGTCCCAAAATAACGCGCATGCTTTGGTTCAATGTAAATTAGCCACGTAAATGTATTCTTATATCGAGCGATCAGCCTTTAACTCAAAATAATGTACATGACGCGTACTAAAAATAACGCGCAGATGGGCTAATACCCGGGATGTAAGAAGTAATGAAGAACGGTAGCATATGAGTTTTAGTCAATCATCAGGTGTAACGTGAAAATCAAATATTATCTAATGAAGCAAACTGATCACAACTCTTTATGGTTAATGTTAGGATGAAAAAGGTCGTATTATAAAATCATTCCAAAGCTCTTTAAGGTTAGCATTTAGTTTGGATTAAAAATTTCACAGCAATGATAAATAAAATTATGCATTAATGCAGTATAGTATAATATTACGAGATAGAAAAAATTTTACTGTTTTATTGATTTTTCTTGATCGATCAATGCCTTTTTTCTTTCTTATTTGGTACTAGACCTTCGGTGTGTGAACTAAACGAATCTCTAATTGTTTGGTTGAAATAACATGTTATAAAGAAGAGGTGGGTCCGGTTAGGTTATAACCGCGGTTATTACAATTGGAAAATTCACCACCCAAATTTTTTTCAGATCATATGAAATTATTTACAGTAATAATTAAATTAGCATCTCCGCTTCGCTTCACTTTGGACGATCATATTATGTGATCTGAAAAAAATTTGGGTAGTGAATTTACCCGATTGTTATTACAGCTATTTTCATAATTTCATAATTTCTGGAACACCTGATAAAAATTGACCGAATGATGTTCGGAAGTTTGCGATTTCGGCAATACTGTAATAAATTCATATCAAGTGACTAATATAAACATTATGCGGATACTGTATCTCTGATGAATACAGAAAAGCGATAATTTCAAAGCAGCTTCGCTGGAAAATAATTGAAAAAAAAATTAGAAGGCCTATCATTTCGAAAAATTCCCAAACACTTAGGCGTTAGTATATCTTCTATAAGTCAGGTTCTTAAGCAGTTTCAAAAATATTGATGTGTTGAAACACTTCCGTCGTTTTTAGGAAAACCATGTTCACTAAACATAGAGGTCGGATCCAGATATTCATTGAATATCCAATATTCGGTTACACAAAATTCATGGGTTTGTAATTGATTATGAATATATATTCATGGTTACAATAATAGATGGATACCCATTCAAAATCTGGATATTCACTCAATGCTATTCGTAAACATCAAAACCCGCGAATATTTACCAAATAGCCATGATGGATATTCAAAGGATCCAACCTCTGACTAAACATGACGATGTAAAACATATTAAAACTTTAATATTGAGGGAAAAATCTGACTGGTATTTGTAAGAATTATAATTTGAGATGGAATTTTGAAAGCTTGGATTTACATATAAAAAAAGGAATATTTCGTTATATAAATTTTCTACTTTGAATTTTGTTTGTCATAATTCTTCATGTATTTCTTCATATATTCTCAACAAATATAATAAAATATCCAGAAATTCATTTTTAAAAAGTCGACAAATTCATGGTTATATTTAATTTTTTTAATATTGGTACTATACTTAATATTTTGTCATAAAAGTCCAATTTATATCTGATATTTCTTGCTAAGGTTTATTGGTTGACAAGCGCAGCTTTATCCATAATTTTTCGTGCAAACTAGACGCACAAACATGTTAGACAAGCATTCGAACGAAATTTAATAATGTTGACATTATCGTTATAATAATCAGTAAAACAATTATGATACAAAATAGCTTATTATACAGATCACAAACTAAATCGAATCGGCCGAAAAATCATTCGGCCAATTTTTTATCAGGTGTTCCAGGAATTATGAAAATAGCAATAATACTAACCGTCAGAGGGCTTAACCGGCCGGTCAAAAATTATAACCGATGCACGTAATATCAGCTAATCAGCATTTACACATACCGAATAATTTTTGTAATTCTTGAATGCCAGGTTGGTGGCGCATTAATCAGACCAAGCAATTTGCGCCAATCAAAAATTCTATAATAATAATAATAATAATAAAATAAAAATTATAAATTTTAATAGAGCAAAACACTATTTTTTAATTATTCCATATGGATGATTTGAGTAATTTATAATTAAGGTTTATTTTCAAAACTTTAAGATTAAAAGTTAAAGTTTAAAAAAATAAACCTTAACTATAAATTATCGAATCGAATGTTCTTACTATTTTCAAAAAAAATGCGTTTTCCTTCATTTTGAATTCAAAAAATATTCGTATTCTTTTACTTTTATGTTTATACAGTAAGTTATAATTTTCAAATTTTTCGGATAACAACTCGTCAAAGTTCTAATGTTTAAGGTATGATAATACAGTAAATCTCAAATAAACAAAATATGTTAGCTAATAAACACGTACATATATAGTTTATAAAAAAAAGTTCTTTAAATGAAAAAAGCTTTCCTTATAATTTACGCCGAAGCGTATCTTAAAAGAATAATAGTAGTGTTCCTTATTGTTAAAGGGGCTTCACCTTTAAAACCAAATTTTATAAGCTTTGAAATTTTAAATACTTCCGAAATTACTGTAATATACTCTACTTCATATTAGGTGTGGTCAACTCTCTTTATAATGAACCTTTTTATAATGAACGAACTAAAAATTTTAAAAATTATGATAGTTCTGTAGTTCTGTATAGAGAGATTCGGCTGTATTCATATTTCTATTATTTCTTCAATTCATAAAAGAAAATAGAAACATTCAAAGTACATGACGGTTGACGAAGCACATGGTGAAGTTTTCATTCAAAAAGAAATTTTACACTATACATACTGAAATAGAAGAGATCATTCCATTGTAGCTGATGAATGCGCCGACACACATTCAAGAATTGCATAATTTTTTGGCCGATTCGATTAAGTTTGTGATTTCGGCATAATAGATCCAATAAATTGATATCGATATACAGTTAGACCTCCCTAAGTGCACTCCTTCGGGACCATAGAATAAAAATTGAAAGTATGCATTTAGAGAGGGTGTGCATTTATAGAGAGCAAAATATATAGAGCCCTTATAAGTTGGGACCGGACTAAACCGTGCATTTAGAGAGAATTTACATAATCCGTGCACTTAGAGAGGTTTGACTGTATATGTAAGTTAAGATCAAGTGATTAATATAAATGTTATATAAGGTAGTTGCCATCGCGCAAAACCAGGAATGGGAAAGTATCTAGATATTAAGTGGTTTAAAATTTTAGGTTAGAATTGTAATTAATCAAACTTGTTAGTAATAAAAAAATGCTTAATTTTGCTCAATGTTATTGTACTGTATAAAAATGCAGGCCTAGTTGGTCATTGATTCTAGCGTGGAATTTCTGTGATTGCATTGTAAAGTCTTTGTTGATAGGAAAAGTTGCATATAGTAATAAACATTTTGTATGGGATGTAATAAATTAAGGAAATTGATATTTTCACACCCTTTTTTGATAATGCCACGCCCCCACCGAACATTCTAATTTTTATCGAACTTTGATCGAAGATATCTCGACATTTACCTGACCAAATTCGACAAAGTTTTTTTTTTTTTTGAGTTCTACAGATTTCTACAATTAAATAAAAAAAAAAAGCTCATCGAATTTGGTCGAGATATCTTCGATGAAAGTATTGTAAATTTAACGTTTATCAAATAGCAGGTGAAATTTTGATCGACATTCACTCAACTAAATTCGATGAAGTTTTTTTTTCTTTGAATTCTACAATTAAAATAAAAAAATCTTAATCAAATTTAGTCAGGTAGTTGTCGAGGCATCCTTGATCAAAGATTTTGCAAATTTTGACGTCTATCATGTAGAAGCCGCGTTGCAGATTGTTGTGAACCTTTGATTGAAGATATCTCGACATCCACCTGATCAAATTCGATGAACTTTTTTTCTTTAAATTTACAGATTTCTACAATTAAAATAAAAAAATGTTCAACGAATTAGATTAGATATGTGTCGAGATATCTTCAATTAAAGTTTCTAAAAAATCAAAAAAAATTAGAATGATAGGCGAGGGTGGGCATTATCAAAAAAGGGTGTGGAAATATCAATTTCCTAAATTAATTAGTTAATACAAAAAGAATATGACCAATAATCTTAGAGTAAAAGGCTTCGAAAAAAGGTGTGGAAAGACTTGGTCCGAGTTCAATGGCCCCAGAGACTTACTGCAGCGATAAAGGAGGTTTAGATTAGGGTCCGACTCAAACTGATGGTCCTAATAAACCATTGTTATAGATAATTATGGATAAAATATAGTCTGATTCTGCGATCTTTGCTGACTTATTAATTAGA